TATACTTTCTTTTCTCAGATTTTTTTTATGAAAATAACCCAAATGTAACGAGGAAATGAGTGTTGCTTAAAGTTTACACAAATCTGACGTGTTTATTTCTCCATTGTCTGTAAATGTTCGAATGATTTCACTGTTACAGAATTTCTTTTTCTTAGCGTATATTAAATAATTTTCAAATGATTTTGCTTTTATTTTCCTCATAACCCACTATCATTTCCTTGTTTTTAACTTACGTCTCCCCTTTCATATAATATATTGGTCGCGGTGTGTAAGCATATATATATATATATATATATATATATATATATATATATATATATATATATATATTAGATAGATAATAGATAGATAGATAGATGTAAAATATGTGGTGCAGTTCAATTTATATTACAATGAATCATTCATACAAAAAGTAGATTAGTAAAGTTACTGATATAAAATGGCAAAAACTCTTCGCAATCAAAATTTTAAAGTTGCATTAACATACGAACCACTCAATGAATGTTATGATCTTTGTTTTTAATAAATACAAGTTGTATAAGGTACTTTCAACTGTACACGCAGTCATCCTCAGCCATAGAAATTATTTTGTTTTTTGTATGAATGATTCATTGTATATATATATATATATATATATATATATATATATATATATATATATATATATATATATATATATATAGTTAAATTCCCAGATCAATAATGTGGACAAGACAGATTGGTATAAAATAACAATTGGAAAAAAATCTTAGATTTTGCCCACGCGTTTCGTCTTCCGACTTTGGGGAGGGGGGGGATCCCTTACTCTAAAGGTAATTTACATTAACCAGAAAAAATGGCTTAGACAGAAGCGTCTATCTTTTTAAATTTGGATTTTTTAATGTAACAATAACAACAAAAACATTTCGATTTCATTTTTGCCTTGAAAAAGTCGGAAGACGAAACGCGTCGGCAAAATCTAAGATCTTTTTCCAATTGTCATCATATATATATATATATAGAGAGAGAGAGAGAAAGAGAGAGATTAATAGGCTGAGATAGATAGATAGATAGATAGATAGATAGATAGATAGATAGATAGATAGATAGATAGTTTTTTTTTTACTGTAACTATAACAACAAAAACATTTCGATTTCATTTTCGCCTTGAAAAAGTCAGAAGACGAAACGCGTCGGCAAAATCTAAGATCTTTTTCCAATTGTCAATATGTATATATATATATATATATATATATATATATATATATATATATATTAAGAGAGAGAGAGAGAGAAAGAGAGATATTAATAGGCTGAGATAGATAGATAGATAGATAGATAGATAGATAGATAGATAGATAGATAGATAGATAGTGTTGTGGATTCCGAGATGAAATCCGGTCTCAAATGAATGACAAACACAGGAATGAAATATAGCAAATAAATGTATTGAAGTAATAATACAATTGGTAATACGGTTAGTAGATCCAGAAATGCGGTTAGTAGCAATAATATTATATATACAGTCTGGGAAATTCAGTATCGAAGTAGGACTTCCTTCTGAGTCTACGTGCTCGCAACTGTGACTCCTACAAAGCGGTTACCTCACTCTCTCACTTCCGGGTATTCACCGGCAACGTTACAAGTACACACTGGGCGAGTCCACTTGTATAAAAAGGGGTGGACCCCTTAACAGATAGATAGATAGATAGATAGATAGATAGATAGATAGATAGATATTAATAGACTGAGATAGATAGATAGATAGATAGATAGATAGATAGATAGATAGATAGATAGATAGATCTTAAGTTTCCCGTATTTCTTATTTTCTAATCTGGCACTCCCTAAGTATGTCGTTAACAGCAAAGAAACGTGAACGGTTCTGGATTATGCCAATGCTCGTAGCATATCACATAAAGGGACTCTAGTTTGAAAAATATACATTTTTTTTATCGAATTCATTCCATGTAAGGTAATAAAGCCACTAAGACACAAGGGGTTGCTGGTTGTGAAAGAATTAGAAAACTGAAGCATAACGGTGGCGAGAACAATAGAAGAGTAATCAGGAAGACAGTAGATAACGATTGGCATTGCATTTGCATTTTTGAAGATCAAAACTGACTGGAAAGCAAGAAGCCAGAAGAGAGTTCCACAAGCGAGAAGCGCGAGAAAAGACACTCTTAGTATAGAACTTATGGCTACATCTAACCAATTCAACTGCAATCCGATGGGACAAGATATTAGATTATAAAAGTGGACGCCGAGGTCAACACCTGTCTGTCTGTTTTCATGTGTTTTGTATTTTGTATCGACTATTTATATCTATTGTAGTATCCTTACGGTTATTGGGTAAGCGGTAACGGTTAAGTTTCAAATTATTCTATAGGCTAATGAGTAGGAGTAATCGTGGGTATCAATACGGTGACTTCTACACATACACATTCAAAAGTTTCAGGCTACCTCAAGTAATTTATAAAATAAGCCTAAAAGTAGTTGTTTTGTACTTTAAATAATTATTATATATCGTAAAAAAAAAGTGAAACATGATTTCTTATTAGAAATTTTATTATGAAAAAGAAAAAATATGGTTAAAGTTTGCTCTCGTCAAAATATCCTCCTTTAGCGTTGATTACGGCAGCACAAATTTTTGGCATTTGATGTAGAAGTTTCTCAAAGTATAAGTTTGATAATTGATTCCATTTTTTTTTTTTTTTTCATTGACTCAAGAGCTCTTTTTCAATTTTCCGTTCTTCTGTCAAGTTCATCGCATGCTAATTCTGGGGGTCTCTTAGAATTTTTGAATTGCGATCTACAAATGTTGACTTATAAAATACTAGCAGTAGAGCCCGGCGTTGCCCGGGGATGTAACAGTAAGTATCGACCATCATAAAGACTAAATATAAAATCGACAAAGATTATTGTCTAAGGTTGACGAACACGCATGTCTTAATTAATTTTTTTTTTTTTGTTTTTTTGTTTTTTTGTTTTTTTTGTTTTTACGAATTGGTAAAACCCAGGATTATCTGAAAAAGATAAAAAATGAAAAGAATTATTCTAGTTTATACTAGCAGTAGAGCCCGGCGTTGCCCGGGGATGTAACAGTAAGAGATAGATCAAGTATCGACCATCATAAAGACTGAAAAATAAAATTGACAAAGATTATTGTTTAAGGTTGACGGACACGCAAGTCTTAATTAGTTTTATTTTTTTTAATTTACGAATTGGTCAAACCCAAACTCAAACAAAAGCATTGTTTTCAATCGTTATGAGTCTCCCGATTGAATAGAATTTTATTATAAACAATTGTCTTGTAAATGGAATTTTTAAAGAATTCTGAATGTAAAACAAAAGAAAAAAGTGTGCAAGACAATAAGAAATACTACCTGCCAAAAAAAGGTGAAGTTTTGTTGAAATCTGTTGAAAAACGTAGGAAATCCGATCCCATATATAAACGAACACACACACACACACACAAACAAATAAACAACCTGGGTTTTACAATAAGTATAACTCGATATGAATTGTCCCCCTTTCATTCTCGCGACAGCGATGCCTCTTAATCGTGTTTTCAAATTGATTTTGTGCAAAAACAATTATGTTTTTCCCATTTTTGGCGGTGTCAGAACCACCGCAAGCTAATTTTACGTAGTTCTGTGAAGTTTTGTTGAAATCGGTTGAAAAATGTAGGAAATCCGATCCAATATATAAACGAACAGACACACAACCTGGGTTTTATAATAAGTATGATAATTGTATCTTGTATCTCGTGTATCATGCGAGTTCCTTTTTTGAGAGACCAAATTCCAATAAAACTAGCCTCTTTTTCTCTATCTCTTTATCCCATCTTATAGTTAAATAAGATTGAAAAAATTTAAAGAGAATGATGAAAGTATCGTTAGTAACGCTATTCTCGTTACATAAATGTGTACAGCCATAAACAAACGAACGAGAAACAGTTAAACATCTTAAAGATAAACAAGAGAAATGATGAATATTCGCTATGTTTGTATTTTATAATAGGATAATATGTGAATATGCATTATTATTGGATGCAGTTAAAACATAAGTTTTATCAAAATGATGCTTATTTTAAATACAGCTGTAGTTTTTGACTACAGTAAAT